CCTGCCTGTGTGATCTTGTGACAGTCATTTCAATTGTCTGAGCCCCAGACTCACAGAATCACAGAGTCTTGGTGCTGTGAGGGACCTCTGTGGCTGTCTTGTCTCATACATACATGCAGAAATTCTCCCAGTAATATGTCTGACAAGAGGTCGGTCAACTTCTGCTGGCTGACCTCCAAAGGAGGGACCCCAGTACCTCCATCCATGTTGACTGTAACTATCAGGGAATTTCTTTTGTTTTTTTGGGTCCTGATGTCAGACATGGTACTCATTTAAGATCAATTGAGCCCCAATAAGGGCCAAAAACCTGAATTAATCTTTTTCTCTCTGAGTGAACTAAAAACACCCCTTCCTGTGTCAGCAAATTCCGGGACCAGATGGAACTGACCAGCATTCTTCCTGGTCGTTATCACTAAGCCCAGCATGTCTGGGACCAGACACTCTCTTGAATAATGGGACTCTTCTTATTTTGGTCTCTAATTTCAATTGACACTTTTACATTCTCCTATTTTATTGTATTTACAACCTATTCAATTAAGAAAATTCCTTTCCCATGCTATATGTTAAACAAACATATGGAGGCTGTATGTTTTGTAACACAGACATCCTGAGTCTGATCACTCTAAACTATTATAAAACCTCTCTCATTTTGCTTAATCTTGGAGTCAGAATCATGTTCTGGCTCCCATGTTGACATGATTCGCTAGCTAAAAGGGAATAAACTATATCATCATGTATTGCCTAACTTGTTTGCCTTCTTTCACCAAACTTTCAGGTTGACAGACACAGTGTGTCTCTTGGCAACTTCCTTCCACTGTTGCTTGCTCTATGCTCTGGACTGAACCGAATGAACCCAAGCCCTCTTCCACACGAGATCCTATTAGATACTTAAGAGAGCTATCATGACCTCCGAGCTATCATGACCTCCTCCCACTGCACAAAAAATCTTTTTTTCTCCAGATCAATGTACCCAATTTTTTCAGCTGATTCACGTGTGAAATGGACTCAAACTCCCTCACCGTGGATTGCTCACAGTAGGCCAGCGTTGAGTGCTGACTCTGTGTGCCTTTCCCTCTGACACTTTAGTTTATCAATGACTGTTTTCAGTCGGGGCACCTAGAATTGAACGTAATATTCCAGATTAGAATTGAAGAGGTGGAATTACCAGCTTCCCAAAGACCCAGACTGTGGCAAATGTAATTTTTCTACATTTCTCAGGAACCTATCATGAACTGAGAAGCATGAGGAAACCTCACTGATCCTGAAGTTGCCCCTGAAGAGCACTGTGCCATGGAGAGTGGGCATTGCCCCCAGAGCAGGAGAGATGCAGGAGAATACAGAAGGCGGAGAAGTGTCCCTCAAATCTGTCTACTCAGGAACACACACTCCATGGCTTAGTGAACCCACAGGCAGCCTGATGAGAGGAACCCTGAGTGCAGGGGAGCCCTTGGGTCTGGTTTCAAGAGAAACGAGAAAGGGCCACCTATGGCAAATTCCCAAACTCCCACTGCCAGCTTTGATTGGCATCCCCATGGACTTGGGGCAGGTGGTTGGCTTTCTGGTAAGAGTGGAGGCCATGATGAGAAGGACTTTTAGAGGGAGGCCAGAGATGCATTTTGAATGCTTCTCCTCCTGAACCTTTTTGTCTGTCTCAGGTATTTTTGAGAGCCTTAACTGAAAACACCCTTTGGGGCAGGTGCCTAAATTCCCGTGAGAGTAAGAAATTGAGAAGGTCCACAAAGACTGAATGAAAGGGGGATGGGGGACAAAGGACATCTTACAATGAATCCAATCCTGTTAAATATTGTATATTTATGCATTTCTATTTTATTATTTTTATTTTCAATTAACATACATTTTTATTAATCAGTATCTCCCACCCCATTCCTATTAAGCAAAATTTTTAAAATTGAAATAAAGCCCTCAACATATAGTCCTATATTCTGATGAAACTAATTCCCACATTTGCCACACCTGAAAATGTATGTCCTTCTCTGGGAGGAGGTGAGGACATTTCATGTTCATTCTTTGGGACTCGTGGTCCACCCTGGCCTTGATCCCGGTTCTAAAGGCTTTCCAAGTTATTTCTGTCACATCCTTATCCTTGTTTCAGCGGCTCTCCCAGCTCTGCTCACCTCAGTCTGCATCAGTTCACAGAGGCCTTCCCAGTGTCCTCTGAAATTGTCCACGTCCTCATTTCTCTTGCCCTCATGTTATTCCATTATACTCACCTATCACAAGCAGTGACCTCGTTTCTGAGAGAAGACAGGATGGGCTCAGGCTCACAGTGTCCTTCAGACCTCAGGAAATCCTTCCCATGAACCCAGGCAGAGATGTGGCCCTCCGCTCAACTGCCAGGGCAGGAGGAACCAGCTGGGGCAGCCAAGCCATGCTGATCTGCCCCATGGGAGGGTTCTGTTTGGGCCTGGAGCGCTGTGGGAGGTGAGGTATGGACCTGCCTTCAGTGACCTCAGGTTCGGCACAGCTGAGGCAGAGGGTGACATCTGTCCCAGGCCAGCTGAGTTGTGAATAAGGAGATTTGGTGTCGCTGCTGGTTTCTGGTGGTACCATTGAAAATCATGAGAAATATCTGAGCTGACCTTACACTTGATGTGGACTCTGGGTCCTGGTGACACTGACAAGGAGGCTGCAGCACAACAGCCCCCTGGGAACCTGAAATCACAGAGAAAAGACGAATATATGGAAACTCGATACATCAGTCCATATGTGATCAGGCTGCTTTGTCTTGGGCCGAACACTAAGGAGGAGGAAACATCTTTGTTTGGCAAAACTCTAATCAGGCTAAATCCTCTTCCTCACAGTGTTGCTCATACACAGTCCAAAAGCTGCCAAATGTCCAGTAGTTGGTTATATAACCTGTCATCTGAAGGAGGTTTTTTCACCTTTCCTGGTCTCTGACCTGAGATGCAGAGCAGTACACCCCAGAGGAGCCGAGCCTGGGCCCATCTCCTGCCAAAGTCCTCCTTTCAGTTCATCAGTGATGACTGCTGGGGTCCCTGCACATGTATGAGGCTCCTCCCTGAGGAAAACAAGCAAATGAGCTGAAGGTTCAGGTAGGCACAGTCATCAAGGCAGAGCCATCTTCCCTTCCTCTCAGACACGGACAAATCAATATCAGCAGTTATTGTCCATTCAGAGCTGGAAAGGTCAGAGAAGCTCAGCTGGGGCTGGATCCCTTCTATGTGAGCCCAGGGGGAGGGGCGGCCTGGGGCAAGGGATGGGCCACTAGCCAGTCAGGGGGCAGGGCTGCATCTTACCTGGGGACCTTCCAAACATGGCTGAGACTTTCTGAAAGTCAGTTTCCATTCAAAGGGATTGGGCTGAATGACAACTCTTTAACTCAATGACCTCTTTGATGGCCTTCAGGTATATGTAACTTCTAGGGATATACACACAGAGAAATATGGGACCTGTATATATATACTACAGCCTGTGCATAAGTGTATATGTGTGTGTCTATGTATACCTAAAACATATATGTCTAAATACATAGGTAAATATATGATATATACCACAAGTGCTTAAATGTTATCTATATTTAATATATAAAATGACTATATATATATATATATATATATATATATATATGTATATAGCATAAACTTACCTGTGTGTGTATGTGTGAATGTAGTGAGACTATCCCCCTCATGTAGCATGGGCTTTCTTGATGCGGCTCACAGAGGAACATGAATAGAGCCTCTCTGGGGAGAGGCTGCTGCAGGATGAGTAACATTATGGTCTAGGGGAGCAAAGTTTCCTTTCACTAACATATCAGATTCTACATTGTGACTTCTGTGGCCTTAGTAGGGGATTTTATTTATTTATTTTGGGGGAGAAGCAGTCAGAGTTAAGTGACTTGCCCAGGGTAGCACAGCCACACAGCTAGTAAATGGCTGAGGTCAGGTTTGAACTCAGGTCCTCATGACTCCAAAGTTGCTGCTCTATCCACTGAGCCACCCAGTGGCCCCACCTAGGTGCTTTATAAAGGATCCTTTGGCTACTCTGCATAACCCAACCTTCCCAGATAACATGTATAGAGTCAATAGGGAAGAAAAACTTTTTTTCCCTGGTGTATAAGGGCCCATCCAAAGCTTGTTTTCTTATACTGATCTTTTAATGAGTTAATTAATTAGTGAATTAAAAAATACTGATTGTGCATTTGTGGTGGAGAACACTATGCTAAGAGCTGGAGAGTCAAGTGGAGCTGGGAGATGGCCCCTGCTCTCCAGGAGCTTACCCTGCAGTAGGGGAGATGCGCCATACTGAGACTTTAGCTGCAAGTTGGATGGAAAGGCCTCTCGGTCCTAAAGGCTTGGCAGCAAACTGATGGTAATTCCTCTTCATTGATGTAATTTCTTCCAATCCAATCACATCAGTTTCTGAAGCTGAACCATTTACCATTTCCAAGGACTTTGGTGGCTGGAACTTTCTTCAGGGGCTGTGGTCATTCTGCAGAGGGGAGAAAATATCCAACAAAGGCTAAGAAATGACTCCCTTCTGCTGTAATGACCCTAATGCCTACAAATTCCTTCCTGCTGATTAGATAGTCATAGAAATCACTGTGAACCAGTGAGGAGCAAAATAAGAATCATGGGTGATGGGCGGGTGCTTCAGGCTAGAATGTAGGGTAATCCCATTAAAGACACTGGACACAAATGAGAATCACTTCCAGGCTGGTCCCAGTCTGGTCCTGAGCTTTCTTGGCACCTTTGAGGTTTTCAGGGCTGATGGGCAAAGGGTTGTATATAACACCACTGGGATACCCCCATGCCAGGGTCCCAGAAGGCCAATGCTGCACTCACACAGCTCGGGTTCTGGGCTGTCCAAGAGGTGAGATCACTGGGCCTGTCTTATGGGCAGAAGCCTCCCTCCCTGAGCTGTTTTGCATGGCTCACTCCCAGCCCCTGAAGCTACTGAGGAGAGCAGCTATAAAAAGGCAGCTGGGGGGGAAGATGCTGGGCAGCTCAGAGCTCAGGCACATGGACATGGGGTCCCAGGCTCACCTCCTCTTTTTCCTGTTGCTCTGGATCCCAGGTGAGTGAGGAAGACCAGAGACAGCCCTGCCTTTTGTCCCTCTGGGCAGAAGTCAGAATGTGTGTGATTCTGAGAGTCAGAAAGAAAATGTGGCTTTTCACTGGTGATCATGGGAGCAGGGCTCAGCACAGCAAGGTTTAACTCACAAAATTGCCTAAGAGATTTCTCCTGCTGTAAAATGGACTTGCTTTTTCTCACTCTTTATCTTGTGTTTGTGATTGCAGATGCCTGAGGGGCCATTGAGCTGACCCAGTCTCCAGCCTCCCTGTGTCTCCAGGAGAGAAAGTGACCATGTCCTGCAAGGCCAGTCAGAGCATTGGCACCAGCCTACACTGGTACCAACAGGAACCAGGCCAGGCTCCTAGGCTCCTCATTACATATGCTTCCACCCTGCACGATGGGGTCCCCTCAAGGTTCAGTGGCAGTGGCTCTGGGACAGATTTCTCCCTCACAATCAGCAGTGTGGAGGCTGAGGATGCTGCAGTCTATTACTGTCACCAGAGCTATAGCTGGCCTCTCACAGTGCTACAGCTCTGAACAAAAACCTGCCCAGGCAGCAGCTGAGGGAGGCATCACTGCCCAGGGGCTTCTCCTTCCCCAACAGCTGGGTCAGGGGCAGCTTGTCTGGGCTCCCTCAGGGGGAGGTTTCTAGGTCTCACAGGAAGATAACTGTGATTGTGGCATGTCCGGCAAGTCACTTAACCTCATTTTGTCCTACTCTGCTTACCTGTAAAATGGTGATCATAACAGCACAGGTTTGTGGTGAGGAGTTAACGAGATAATAATGATAAAGTGTTTGGCACTATGCCTGGCACTTAGTAAGCACTGCAGAAATGTTACCTCTCTTTATTATTATCACCACCTCCAGTAATGGATTTTCCATTACACTTTAAATGGTTCTCATTACTGGAGTCTCTTCTTTAGTTTAAGTCTGAAGTCTGCCTCTCTGCCCCTCCACCCTTCACTCCTATTTCTCTGCTTTGGTATCAGGCAGAACAAGTCACACCCTCTTCCTCCTAAGAGCCCTATGAATGCTTGAAGGCAGTTATTACTTGTCCCCATGGTGACAGCTTCCCTGTTTCCTTCAGGCAACCTTCCTTCTCTTGGCCTCTGGTCCTTTCCCCATATAGGCTACCTTGCTCTGGCTGGACTCCAGCCTAAGTCCATTCTAAAATGGGGCAACCAGGAGGGAAAGCATTATTCCAGAGGTGCTCTAACCTGGACAAGACTAGAACACCCTGGGACCTATGAAGAAGTGGGTTACCTCCTCTTGACAGAGAAGAAATGGACACAAAGCACAGAGACATACATTTCAAGCATGGCTATTCTGGGGAATCGTTTTGTCTGACTGTTTATTTGGTTTCACTAAGGCAGAACACCATGAAAGCATTGGAGTCTGTCCAACACTCCCTGGAGTCTGGTCCTTCCAGCTCTGCAGGTGACAGGGCAGCCATCATGCCCGTGCTCTGATACAGCTTTTGTCATGTCCTTCCTACATTCACTGCAGTGGCTCCCCCAAAACCAGTGGGACCCTTCTTCATTTTTCTGGACATCACTAAGATGTCCAGACCACAGACACCACTAAGACACCACACGTGAAGCACATGGATCATCCACTGTTGTACCATTCTCTTGCCACCTGCCATATTTTTTGAGCGTACATTTGGCGTGATCTGCTTTATCTATCCTTTCTTAATAAGTCTTTGTTCTGTTTGCTCTTTCCTGCCGTGTGGCTCTCCATTGGTTTCTCTAAGCTCCATGAGGAAAATGAGACATATAAGGACTACAGTGATGTAAGTGAAAAGAAAAGCATCGCAACAAAACTGAATGCGTCATCACTGGAGTGACCAAGCTTGACCCGGGAGAAGAGCTGAGGAATGGGACCTTCTGCCCTTTAGGTTATATTCTGCTGATTTACTGGTTGGTTTTACTGAACTATTCCCCACTGCTTTATATTTTTTTAATGTTTGTTATAGTTCTCTGAATATAGGAACAGCCAGAGATAAATTTATAAATTGATTTAAAAAGAAAAGATATGAAAAAATTTAGCTCAAAATAAAGTATTCATAATATGGAATTTATGGATAGATCCATATGAATGGATCTTCTTGCTGAAAAGAAAAACAAATTAAAAACATTGCCCCCTTTTTTTTAGTTTTTGTGTAAGAGGGGTCTTACTGAGTAGAAGAACAAGCTGGGATATGTTACTAAATTAATATTAAAGTAAAAACAAAAACATTTAAAAAGCAAAGTAAGAAAATACTCATAGTATAGAACTTATAAATAGTTGTATACCCTTTTTGGAAAAAATAACATCCTTTACTCATCCCTGCCCACACATAGACCCTGCCTAAGTGTGAGAGGAGAAAGAACCATCACGCTGGGTTTGATTAAAGCTCTTTCAGGACAATGGGGTCTTTAGCTTCATTTTGAACCTCCAGTGCTGAGCACACATGTTAACTGATTTATGAATGGGATTGATCCCATGCTACCCCCCTTGCCTTCATCTCATTAATCTCCTGTGCTAGGCCCTTCCTCACTTTTCCTTGGCATCACAATCACACCAGCATAACCTAAAGACTACCTAAGAACTTCAGTGTTACAGAAACAAAAGTTGTCAATGAAGTTCAGTTTTTAAAAAACTATGTATTCTACCTCCTCTCCCCTCCTTCCTTTCTCCATAACCATTCCTCGCTCCCCACCAAGACGCCCATTTCTTTGGTTTTTATACAAACTGGTTCTAAACTATTAATCAAGGATTATTGCCCATTACTCTCCTTTATGAATTCTACATTCTAGTCAAGCTAGTCTAGGTGCAATGTCCTAAACATGGCATTCCATCTCCAGGGTGGGGCAGTGGAAAAAGGGGGGAGGGAATTTGAAGGTAAAAGAACTGGATTTGAACCACTAGCACAGCCACTTACTGGACTTTGGGCAAATTTCTTATCTTGTCAGTTTCCTCATCTCTAAAATGAGGGGTCTCATATCTAATTCCTCTTCCTCCTCCTCCTCCTCTTCCGCTTCCATCTTCTCTCCATCAACTTTGTCCCTAAATAGCCTCTGGACACTGTCAAATATTGTCTTGAGCTGGTTTTTTCCTTAATCTGCTTCTCTCTCTGTCCCATTTGCATGGGAATTCATTTTCCAAAGTTCCCAGATCATCTGTGTAGAGTCAAAGAGAAGAAAACTGAGCATTCCCTAGTTTAGAGGAGCCCATCCAAAGCATGGCTTCTTGTAGTACCCTTTTAATGAATGAATAAATTAATGAATTAAAAAATACTGATTAGGTAGTTAGGATGGATGAAACATGGTGCTAAGAGCTGGAGACCTAAGCAGAGCTGTAAAATGGCCCCTGCACTCTGGTAGCTCACACTGCAATAGGAGGAGATGTCCCATATTGAAGATTTCTGTTGCCAGTTGGGTGGAAAGGCCTCATAGTCCTCAGTGTACAGGAGGAAAATGATGATAATTAATTTTCCTTAATCTAATTTCTTTCAATCAAACCACATCAGTTTCTGAGGAACCATTTGCCAATGCCAAGGACTTTGGTAGCAGGATTTTCTTCAGGAGCTATGGTAATTGTGCAGATGGGTGAAACAATCCAGCAATATTTCATAAACACAATGAAATGACTCCCTTCTGTTGTATTGACTCTAATGCCTATAAATTCCTCCCTGATGATCAGTCATAGCAATCACTATGAACCAGTGGGGAGTAGAATAACAGTCATGAGAAACAGGTGGGTCTTTCAGACTAGAATGGAGGGTAACTAGACTGAGGTCACTGGACACATATGTGAGTCACTTCCAGGCCTGTCCCAGTCTGGTCCTGAGCTTTCTTGGCATGTTTGAAGTTTTCAAGGCTCGTGGTGACATGGTAAGATCTAACACCACTGGGACACCCCCAACCCAGGGTCACAGAAGGGGAATGCTGCACTCACACAGCTCAGGGTTCTGGGCTGTCCAAGAGGTGAGATCACTGGGGCCTATTCTGGGGGCAGAAGCCTCCTTCCCTGAGCTGTTTTGCATGGCTCACTCCCAGCCCCTGAAGCTACTGAGGAGTGCAGCTATAAAAAGGCAGCTGGGGAGGAGGGTGCTGGCCAGCTCAGAGCTCAGACACATGGACATGGGGTCCCAGGCTCTCCTCCTACTTTTCCTGTTGCTCTGGATCCCAGGTGAGTGAGGAAGACCAGAGACAGCCCTGCCTTTTGTCCTTCTGGGCAGAAGTTGGAATGTGTATGATCCTGAGGGTCAGAGAGATAACGTGGCTCTTCACTGGTGATCATGGGGGCAGGGCCCAACACAGGAAGGTTTAACTCACAAAACTGTCAAAGAGATTTCACCTGCTATAAATATGGATTTGCATTTTCTCACTCTTTACCTTGTGTTTGTGATTGCAGAAGCCCTAGGGGCCATTGAGCTGACCCAGTCTCCAGCCTCCCTGTCTGTATCACCAGGAGAGAGAGTGACCATGTCCTGCACGGCCAGTCACGGCATTAGCAATGACCTACACTGATACCAACAGAAACCAGGCCAGGCTCCTAGGCTCCTCATTAAACATGCTTCCACCCTGCCCGAGGGGATCCCCTCAAGGTTCAGTGGCAGGGGCTCTGGGACAGATTTCTCCCTCACAATCAGCAGTGTGGAGGCTGAGGGTGCTGCAGTCAATTGCTGTCAGCAGGACTATAGCAATCCTCTCACAGTGCTACAGTTCTGAACAAAAACCTGCCCAGGCAGCAGCTGAGGGAGGCATCACTGCCCAAGGGCTTCTCCTTCCCCTCAGCTGGGTCAGGGGCAGCTTGTCTGGGCTCCCTCAGGGACTCACAGGAAGATGCTGTGGCTGTGACCAATTCTGACCTTGATTTCTTTTCCAGCCAAAAATCATGGAGTGTCAAAATGTAAAAATTAGATGACACCCCAAAGGTGGGTTTCTTTAACTGATACCTGACCAAAGGACCCCTTTCCAAATCCTCAACAAGTGTTCTATAGTTTTGCTTGAAGACCTCCAGGGCAGGCAGTCTGGCTATCTAGGGAGCTAGGTGGTAGTAGACAGAGTCAGGTATTTTGTCAAGAAGACCTGAGTTCAAATCCAGCCTCAAACACTTAATAGCTGTGTCATATAGGGCAAGTCATTTAATCTCTGTTTGTTTTAGTTTTCTTACCTGTAAAATGGGAATCATAATAGCACCAACTGCTAAGGTGCGTGTGAGGACCTAATGAGATAATAACGATAAAGCATTTGGCACTGTGCCTGGCCATTAGTAAGCACTACAGAAACCTTACCTCTTTCTATTATTATTACCACCTCCAGTAATGGATCATCAATTACACTTTTAAATGGTTCTCATTACCTGTTCTTAATTTAAGTCTAAAGGCTGCCTCTCATGCTTCACTTCTATTTCTGTGCTCTGGTACCAGGCAGAACAAGTCCCCCCTCCTCCTTGCATCAGCCATTTGGATGCCTGGTGCTTAGCAGGTACCTGATGCATATTGACTGAAAGACCATCAATATAGCATGATTATACTCAGATTTACAGG